ACTTCTTCCTCGACTGTTAGAGACAGCCCCCGCGCTCAAGTAGTGCATGGTCGTCCTTCCTTGTGCAAGTAGTACAGCCCCCAAGCTAGAGACTGTCCCACTCTATTCGACTCCACAGCGAGCGAGGAGCGAGCTACAGCCGCTGAAAGTTCTAGTTCTAACGCCTGCTCAGTTGGACCGCCCACTTGCTAGATGCCCTCCGACGGAGGGCAGCTCAGTTGTTCTTTGTTGGGGCGGCGGGCATTAATCGGAATTGCATGTCCTTTTCGCTGCGCTCATGCCCATGAATGATTCTGCTCTCCTTTATTACATTTTATTAATCAGGAGCATAGTCAACTCCAACACATCTCGCAAGGTAAAACGCGTAAAAATCACGAGCGACCCAATTTTCGTGGTGCAAAAGCTCGACGCACTTCACTACACTAAAATATGCACGCTACCGTAACCCTAAATTCGGACGCCGGCTTTTTAAATGTTTCTTTTTCTTTTCAAGAGTTTTTCCTCTCTGTTTCTGTTGTTTTTTGTTTTCTTTCTTCGCATTCGATGATATCCACTACTGGGAGATGTGACAAAGTGATTTGTGAGCCAGGGCTTGCACAGAGACCGCAGGGAGGTGTGACTGTCAGGGCGCGATTTTGTTTGTTCTTGAGGACTCTTCTTGCTTTTTTCTTTTTTGGGGAATTACTTATCAGCTACTGTTTCATAACTGAACATCAACTATCCATGACACTTCGCGGGAGCTGTCTTTAAAAGGAATTCAGAACTATGCACCTCTCCCAAGGTATATAGCCCCGATTCCTAATTCAGGTAATTTTGGGTGTTTAACAAGAGCAAATGAGTTATCAACATAGTGTAGGCCCAATTCGGTGTAATGCTGTCACCCATGAATGCACACCATCTCCCTGCCTAGGGTTTAGCCAACAGAAGCGTTATACAAAAAGCTCTCACAAGGAGCGCGTCGCAGGCCGAGAAAGAAAGCCGCTAGATGTAACTAAATGTGAAGGACAACTAGCCACTAAGAGGAACAAGCAGGGAAAGCAGGACATAGACAAGCAAGTTAGGATGGAGTCATTTGGGAGAACCCTCAAGATTTGCAAGGATGCTGCCGAAAGGTTTGGCAGGTAGCAGAGAGAGCGAACACTGCGCCACACTAAGCCAAGTGAAGACATTAATACCACCACTTAACATAGCTACATAAGGGTGAATCTGCAAGAACACAGTTTGGGTGTGATAGGAATGCGTTAAGTCATTAGCAGCACGTCACAGCTAGCCGGACCTTATTAGGTATGAGGTAACCAGATAGCCGTGGCTCTCTTAAAGCAAAGAACCGTTTAATTTCCTTTCCTTTCAAACAGCTTAGAAAAGGGAAAACGGCAAACCTTACGATTAAACAACTTCAAAAGGAAAAAATTATAAAATCAAGTAGAAAATGACTCACGTGGTGGTGCAATAACATGCCTCATGCATTGCGATTCACCGTCTTCGTCAAGGATCTGGCCGTGAGGCAGTAACCGCAAAGCCTGATCGAAGCGATAGCTTGTGACGAAAACCTGTACAGCACTCTTCAGTTTCGACTTGTATCACATCAATAGAAAGGCTTTCTGCATCACTACAGAAGAGATTAACAGGCTATACAGTCTTGTTCACTGCAGATGAAGGAGCTTTTCCGCCGGTATGGGTCTGGCGCGGCGCCAAACACGTTCTACACCAGTTGTGAAAGCGGGTAAGCGACAAAAAATGACGGAAATATCTGATCCGAACAATATTATACAGTCTCGTCGCTTGCTCGTCCCCACAGGTGGTGGAGGAAAGGTCGAGCGCCGCGCCAAACCCATCCTGCCCGCCCTTAATCCGCAGCGAATAACACCTAGGAATGTCCTATCACATATGGATTGGCTTACATGACTGAATGCACGCTTGGCTTAGAAAATGGAAAACTAGACCAAACAAAACTGAGTACGCTGGGAACTACAACTGAATAAAGAACACTGCCGAAAGAATGTTGCAAAAATAGATACTGTCCTCTACGAGTGAAAGGAATGGAAGATAGGGAAAACAGAAATTTGGTTCTGCGAAATATTTCCATGAAGTAGAGTCAAAAGGGCGGCTTATTTACGGGGGCGGCTTACAACTAACAAGATATTCCAAACCGAGTGTAACAAAACGCTAACAAATATAGGAATAGTGCACCTGTTCGTTTCCAGCCGCACGAGCCCCATCAATCAGTGAAGCAATTATAAGATCTCTGTAACAGGAAAAAGTGTAACTAACTGTAACTGAAAGATCTTGTGAAATATTAGGGACAAACCTTTCTGCGGCCGAGTACACACGTCCCTCGCCAGTTGTGTATTCGATAACAAATTGTTGTGGATCTTTTTCCAAGCGAACCAGGCATACAATCTAGGAAGTATCAAAATATATAAATCGAACGCATTGATTTGCAACCACAATAAATTCAAAGGAAAATGAGCAGGAGGACTAAGAAAAAAGAGCAAAAAATAACGAAAATAACTAAATTGGGGAAGCAACGTATAGCAAGAGTCTATAAAGCTTACTTGTTCCAATGGTGTGGCACACACAACAGCATAAGAAGCAGGATCGCGTTCAACAATGCAGCTTTCTGTAAGACAAAGCAGGCGACGAACCGGCTGATCATGCCGTTTAGCGTGCTTCTGCACCTTGAATTCTGCATAGGACGTTATATGGTCATCTCGACTAAAAAAACGTGGAGATTCAAGTAATATATTCAGCAAGCAGCAAACCTGCATAAATACAAGAGTATTCTGGGGAAATACCTGCACAGGCCCAGTCTTGTGCGCGCGAACTCATCAAGAGTAGCGGCTTCCTTAGTGATAGGAACAATCACACCAATATGATCAGCTGCTATCCGCCGCACGTCTTTCAGGAACTCGTCGCACTTCGTTGAAGCGAAAAGATGCTATAAAAGACAGTGGAACAGATACAATTACAGAGGCGTATAGAAACCAGCGACGGCATGTGTATCAAGCTGGTCCAAAGGTTTTGCATCAACATTTTGTTTTCTGAACTAGAATTTTGTGGAGCCCCAGTAGTGATTCGTGAGACACTGCGACCGCTTTAATATATCCCTCCCAGTCACATGAATATCCAGATCAGTCTGTCTGAAGCATAAAAAATGGCGAAGTTGTCCTACTTAGTGACAGTGCCGACAGCAAAGATTACTCGTCAAAAGAAAAATGACGGGGGTTGGTTGGAACGTCCTAATGAACCGTCCTTATCCTCCTGACTAGAGCCCGTGTGACACCGTTTGCTTTGCGCTCAACACCACACACGAGAGAAAGAACTCAATGACTAGAAAGAGTTACACAAAAAATCTCGCGCTTTTTCTCACTCGGCGACTCACGGACACCAGGACTCCCGACTTCTGTATTTGATAATGTGGTCATGCGCTAAATAGACGTAGTGAATGACGAGATGTTCATTTTGATGATTCATATATGAACAACGAAGGTTTGCTTTCGAAAATTCCAAAAACTCGTTCGCGGCAAGACTTCCAGACAAATCCACAAACTTGTTCGCTGTGGATAAAAAGGTAGGACAATGAGGCTGAATTTGGTGCGACGTCAGCCCGTTCTCCACCACTTGATGAAGCGGTGGAAAACGACTAATACGAACTATGTGATATAGTCTTATCGCATGCGGAAAACAGGAAAAGGGGTGGCGCTGCGCCAGACTCATCCCCCAAACAGGCCTCTTCATCCGCAGTGAACAAGAATTAATAGATGGGCGTCGGTGAAGTATTAGGTCATTCAAAAGTGCCCTGACATATAGAGGAATGGCAGAAAAGCAAAGGGGATAGGGAAGCGGGCTACTATACCATTTGGAGGCTAGTACCTTCAGCTGTGTATCTGTGAAATTTGGCCCTACCCACAGAGGAAGTTCTCGAGAAATTGAAAAGAAGCCCGAGTGGTGAAAATCAGCGCCCGATTTTCAAATCAGACGTCATAAGAGGGAAGTGCGCTGCTCAAATTCGACCGGCGCCGGACCAGTAGTTGTGTGTAATGGTGTTCTCGAAATACAAGGTGGAAGGTTTGGTTCAGGAGCCCGAAGAAGGAAGAAAGGAAAAAATTTGTTGTCGTGGATGGTCCCATAATGTTCATCCTGCACAAGAAAAAAGGGTGGATGAAGTCAAGCGCTGAATGTCTGATCCAGAGCCTGGACCTTTGTCGAGCTTCCCCGCGAGTCTGACATCCCAGCTGCAACTGCTGCCCGAGTTATGTCCGATAAACTGAGGATGGTCAAGAGGGTGTGCGCATGGGTACCTAATTTTCTTGTAGAAGCACGAACGCAGTACCGATTCTATACCTCTAGCAGTAATGTTCTCAGCATGAGATGTCATTCACGACTGTGAAAACGCACCCCGGCCCTAGATGAAATATGGGTGGTCTTGGACCCGAGCCAAAACTCACAATCGTCAATTTTGTATGAATGCAGATGAGAAGCCGCCCGAGTTCTACCATGAGTAGTTACGCGGGCGCAAGTGGATGATCAGAAGTGGATGATCATCATAGCGAAGAATTTCTACACTGTGGCTTTCAGGCGGCTCTATACAGAGAATAAAATCGTCGCTGTCATATTGCCTGTTCCTCGGCAATCAGATCGACAAATGGATGATACCACACAACTACAAGAAGGCCACCGTTGCTCGTCATAGTGCCAGACCCCGAGTAACTGTATTGTAGGGCAGTGCTGGGACACAAACAATACTGAGACCTGGGTTCAATCGCCCCATTCGCCCGACATAAAGCCGAGCGATTCCAATTGTTCTCGTCAGTCGAGAGTACTCTCCGACGGCAAACGCTACAATGTTTTGTCATTCGCCGAAATTGGCATCAACAGCAATTTACTCGCACTTGTTGAAAAATCGAAGGTACCAGAGGTCCAAAGGCTTTCGGGGCACTGGGAGCGGGTCATTGGTGAAGGAGGGATTTACTTAACTTGAAGCCAAAATATTACTTTTTTATCTATTCTCCTCTTTGTTTTATTCGAAAAAAACCGACGGCACTTTTGAATGGGATGACCTAATAACATCTACTAAGGAGATCATCTGTTAATTACAATTATGCAGCTCAAATGGGTGTCCTAATTGGACTTATGGTATTTCGTCAAAGGAGAAGAGAAAGTGAAGTAACAAAACTCGAGAAAAAAATAATAAACAATAAACAATAACGAAGAGAGTAAAAATCACTCACTCTCCGATGATGATCACCAACGTCGATTATAAAGCCTCCGGGACAATCGGATACCTTAATCAATTCAAAATGATCTCGAATATTATGGAATCAAAAAAAATGGCACATGTATAGTTCATCATAACACATAAAAAAAGTCAACGCAAAGCGCACGGAAGCCTACCTTCAGTATCTTTTGTATTCGTCTATAAGGATAGGACTGGACGACAACTCCCCGGCTATCCACTTGTTCTATAGCCGCTGCATTAGCGCGGAGAATGACTGGGAGACGACGATCAGCCCAGCTATGTTTGTATGCATTCACTGCCTAAAAGTAAATGAATAGTGAACGGAGTCGCCATTGAAGATTTCGTCGCTTCGAAAACTGGAAAGCGGCAAAAATTCTCAATATTTCTGTTCGCGTACGTTCTGAACATGGTTTGAGCAGTGTTACATTCGACTTCTTAATATACTATCAAAAGATATCGCAATTTTGTACCGTATTTTCCTATGGATCCTACCAACTCTTAGAATCTTACAACCTCTTCGCCACCCATTACCCAATGTTTGATAAATAGTGAAATGGGTGTGGAGGTGGTCGTTAGGAGTCCTCTCAGAAACACCCCTGATTTTTAGCGATAGTCCCACAAGGTTATGGTCAGAACACTAAATTCTCACCCATGTTGAGAAATGAGCGTCAGACCTCGTGTTCACTGAAAGCCCACGTCAGACAATATTGATCAACCTTTATATAAATTACGAAAGTCAAAACGTGCATATTATGGGACACAGGACGGAAAGCCTACCCTACTCCACCTTGGACAACAACACTCTTGAATTCCGCTTG